CAGAGGCATGTTGCTTAGGAAGTGGATGTCACTCCTGCTTCCAAGTCTGTCTTAATCTGGGAGCTCCACCAAACACTGTGTAACCATGTGTAACCATTGTGGCATTTGAGATGCCAATGGAACAGTGTTCAGTATCACAGCAATCCTGTTTCCTCTGTACAGCAAATTAACAGAGCCGTGCTGTACCACTTAGGAGTAAGCTCATTTCAAACACATATAAACACTAAAGTATTACATATTAATAGTATATATGTATATATATATATATATATATATATAATTATTTTTATAATCTCATCATCTAACTCATTTGCCATCAAGTCACAAATGACTCATTACTGACTCTCCAATGAGTTTTCAGAGGCTGCTATTCACACAGGAAAATGCCCATCTTTCTCCAAAGTGCAGCTGGTGTAATCAAACCTCATGTCTTTGGATTAGCAGCACAACTCCCTACCACAGGTGGATTCTCAAGCCACTGAGTTAGTCGTGTGGCTCATTCTTTACCAACGGGGCTACATAACCTTTACTTTTATAAGTTATTAAAATGGATATAGAAAACTGATGTAAAAAATGGCCCAAACTTTGTTTTGGGAGACAATGTTAATACTTTAAGAGCAGGTCTACTCTGCAAGCTTCCAGATTAAACAAACAAAGAAAAACCCATCTAGTTTTACCTTTAGTGCTTTCTGTTGCAGTCGGTCACGTTCTTCCTTTTCTTTGCCAACAAACCACACTTCCCATGGTGTCAGGCTACTTTCTGGTAAGCGTACTTGTTTCTGATCTTTTGGAGTATCTTCTGATTTAACTTCACTGGTATAAAGAGAATACAGTGTCGCACTGTACATAAAACTCTGTAGTTTACTACTCAAAACCACTTAACTATACAGTGAAAAAGTCATTATGTATTTAGTGTTGTGACTTATATGTAAATACATTAATTTCTTATAAGTGCATACATGTATAAGAGAAATCAAGAATAATATTCAAATTTATATAATCATCAAACTGTAGTTTCACCTCCTAAAAGTCCATTTTTTAAAAAATTCATTGATATAACTCATACCTGGCCCATTAAACTCAAATGTCAACACTTTTTCCCTAAGAATTTTTTATATGGGCAAATATTACTATGTAGATTCCCTGGATGGTGCAAATAGCTCTCTGCACTGACAAATGGGACGGCTGGAGGCACCTCTAGAGAAAGGTCTAGGATCCATGTCTGAAAAATTAAGTCATTAAAAACCTCTGGGTTTTAAAAGTCCTCCTCTGATATATGTGAGACAGTTACAAGTTTGAACAAACTCAGGAAACAGCCAGATTGGCTTCAAAATGCATGATCCTAATCAGATCTAGAGTCTTTCTCTCCTGCACTATCCCTTCCCCCTTCCAAGCAGGATGTCCTTCTCCAAGGACTGGTCCCTCCTGACAACATGCCCAAAGTCTGTGAGATGGAGCTTCAAAATTCTTGCCTCCTCCAAGGTGCAAATGGAGCAACTCCTTTCTAGGACAGATCTGATTGTTCTCTTGGCAGTTCACTGAATGTTCAGTACTCTTCTCCAGCACCACACTTCAAAGGCATCAATTCTTTTGTCATCCATATTCATTGTCCAGCTAATGTCATGGCTCTTTAGACTCTGCAGAGGTCCTTGACAGCAGACTTTCCTAAAGCAACTCATTTTTTTTATTTCTTGACTGCTGGTGCCAGTTGTAGATCTGAGCAAGATGAAATCATTAACTTCAATCTCTTTTCCATCTATCACCATGCTGCCTATTAGCCCTGTAGTGAGGATCTTTGTTTCCTTGATGTTGAGATGCAATTCATATTGAAGACTGACGGAAATCCTTGACCTTCTACAGCAAATGCTTCAAGTCCTCCTTAGTTTCAGCGAGCAAGGTTGTGTCATCTGCATAACACAGCTGTTAATAAGTCTTCCTCCAATCCTGAAGCCACATTCTTCCTCATGGAGTCCAACCTCCCAAATATCTGTTCAGCACACAAACTGAAAAGGTATGAAGAAAGGATACATCCCTGACACATCTTTCTTGAGTTTGAACCATGCAGTGTTCCCTTATTATGTGCAAAAAACAGCTTCCGGATCTAGAAAAATATTTTGCAGTACAGTCACATGTTCTGGGATTCCTTTCTCAATGTTAGCGGCAATTTGTTGTAATCCACAAAGTCAAATGCCTTTGCACAGTAGTTAAACACAAATAAGACTTCCTTCTGGTACTTTCTGCTCTCAGCCAAGATCTATCTGACATAAGTAATGATATCCCTAGTGCCACAGCCTCTTCTAAACCCAGCCTGTATTTCTGGTAGTTCCCTGTCAAAGGATTGTTCTAGCCTTTCTGGGATAATCTTCAGCAAGGTTTTGCTTATATGTCATAATGGTGATACTGTTTGATCATCTCACATTGTGTTGGATCAATCTTGTTTGGGAATAGGAATAAATACGGATCTCTTCCAGCCACTAGGCTAGGTAGCTGTCCTCCAGAGTTCTTAGCACAACCTGGTAAACACATCTAGGGTTGAATCTGTTTGTTGGAATATGCCAATTCGTATTCCATCAACTACTGGGGCCTTATGTTTTTTGTTTGTTTGTTTTTGCCAGTGCTTTCACAGTGGCTTGAACTTCTTCGTTCATCACCACTGATTCATGATCATATAAGACTTCCTGAAATGGTTCTGTGTCAGCCAGTTCTTTTGGTACAGTGACTATTCCTTCCATCTTTTTTTTAATGCTTCCTGGATCTCTCAATGTTTTATTCTCCAACAGTATCCTTCAATGTTGCAATTTGAGCTTGAATTTGTATTTGGTTCCTTCGGTTTGAGAAATGCTGAGTGGGTTCCTCCTTTTCATTTTCGGATTCCAGCGCACTGCACATTTCATTTCAATACTTTGCTTTGTCTTCACAAGCTGCCCTTTGAAATCTACTGTTCAACTTTTTAACTTCCTGATAGCTTCCCCTTTTTTTGTTGCAGTTCCAGTGTAATACTGAGTCTCTTCTGACATCCATCTTGTTCTTTTCTCTGTCTTTGTAATTACCTTTTACTTTCTTCATGGATGATATTCTTGAAATCATTCCATAGTTCATCTGATCTTCCTTCATTGGTGTTCAATGCCTCAAATCTATCATTTGATGCCTCAAATCTATCCTTGAGAGTTTTTAAATTTAGGTGGGATAAATTCAAGGTCATATATTGGCTCTTGTGGATTTGTTTTCATTTTCTTTAGCTTCAATTTGAACTTGCACTTGAGTAGTTGACGGTCTGTCCTCTTCTACAGTCAGAACCTGACCTGTTTTTTTACAGCTGAAACTGAGCTTCTCTAATGACTCTTTCCACAGAAGTAATCAATCTGATTCTGTGTAGTCCATCATATGAGGTCCATGTGTAGCCACCACATGTGTTTTTTTATAAGAGTTATTCATAATGAATAAATCACTGTACAAAATACTATCATACTATTTCCAGCCTCATTTCCGTCATCAAGTCCGTATTTTCCAACTACTGATCCTTCTTCCTTGTTCTCAGATTTTTCATTCAAGTCACTAATTATTATTAGTAAATCTTGGCTACATGTTCGATTGATTTCAAACTACAAGTGTTGGCAGAAATCTATTTCCTCCTCTTTGCTTTACCTGCTGGTATATATTTGAATGATGGTGGTATTAACAGGTCTTCATTTCATTTTATGCATATAGATTCCTGTCACTCATCATTACACTGCATATGGATCTAATGACTACAACCTGATTTTTCTTCACTTTTTCTTTCTGGCATAGTAGATCATATGATTATCTGATTCAAAGTGGTCCATGCCAATGCATCTCAACTTGTCAATGCCTAATATGTCAATATTTATGCTTTTTATTTCTTTTTAAACCAATTTCCTACATTTATACTTCATACGTTACACATTCCATCTGTGGCTGTTTGAAACTATTTCCCAATATGAAGACTGAGCCTCTAGTGCCATATCTAATAGCCTAAGTGTACGCTCACTTGCTCTAGTGAGTGCCCTCTCTGTATATATATATACAGAGAGAGAGAGAGAGAGAGACATGGAAATAATAAAACAAATTTCTTAACAATTAAGGGCTCTACAATTGATTAACAGTGCATCTAAATTTCAAAATCAATCTCCACAATAGTCTATGTGTTTCCTACTGCCAAAGGGGCCCTTTGGAGTAGTGAGAGAAGATCTTCACCCTGAAACCCACAGCGTCCCTTTTCAGCAGGAAGTAGCTAAGAGAATACGCCATCCCCTTTTCCTTATGAATCAGGGTGAAGTCTCTCTCAGGAAGGAGTGATAGGGAATGGCAAAAGACACACTGACAAAGGAGATTAATCAGAACTGGCTTTGACAAGCACTGTGGCAATTGGACAATTAAAACAGACATGGGGGGGGAAAGAAGAATGAACTGGGGAGGCAGAGAAAATAGTGCAACAATGAATGAATGGAAATCCAAAATCTCTGTAAATGTTCACAACAATTAATAAAATTAAATTAAAAAAAGAAAAACAATTAAGGGCTCTGGGTAACAAGGAAGCAAAATTATACAAAAATAAAATGAACCATCTTAAACTAGCTTTTTTTTCAGTTTTTGTTTTTTAATTTTATTAATTTTAATGAACATTTACAAAGATTTCTCATTTCCATTCATTCATTGTTGCACTTTTCTCCCTGCCCACCCGTCTCCCCCATACATTTTTTTTCTTAGTCTGGTTACTTTGTACCATTCCCTCCACCTCTGCCATGTACCTTCTGTCAGACCATCTCTTATGAATAATCTCTCTCTCTTGAATACTCAGAAGTAATTACTTGCTGAAAATAAATAGAAGAGATGGGAAAGATATTGTAAATACATAAGTAAATTAAGAACACAAGGACTTGGCCAGACACCAGCCTCACAACACTTAGAGGTGTACCCAAGGAAGGGAAAACTGTTCAGGACCAAAGGCACCCTGGAGCTGCCTAGGTTATCAGTCCCTTTACACTCTCTGACAATTACCTAACTGTCCACCACTAAGCACAACCCTTCTCTACCTCAGAGCTTCAGGTGACTCGGGGTTGTACGTTTTTATAGGTTTTTTGGGTTATGTCAGTTTGGGTATTTTGATGCTATATTTCTTCATTTATCCATGCCATCATAGAATTTGTTTTCTAGTGAGACTTAGAAACAGTTAATGTGCTGGTTATTTCTTAGACATGTCTTCCCTTTTCAGGCTTGCAAATGACCTTGTCTACTCTGCAGTTTCAACTCAGTGGCATCAACAGAGTTGCTGGTGTCACCCTGCCCCATGTCACCCTCCCATACCAAACCATATGCAACCTTTAGTAAGTTTTATTGATGATATTAATTATAGACATGTAAATTGTTTAGATATAATATCTTAGATTATATGAAAACTATATAAAATTTCTGGCTACAACTTTCTACACTGAATTACAACATTAGTAAATGAAATGAAGCATTTTTTTAAGTCTCCTTTCAAAAAAAAAAAACCAAAAAAAAGTCTCCTTTCATTACTACTTCATTCTCACAAAAGTTACTGACAAAAGTTCACATATATTAATTACCTCAAAACTGTAGCTAAACTATTGGGAAATTTTACAAAATTATGACTACAAAAACACTGGCAACAACAACAAAGCACAATCAGTGTAAGCTTGTGGCAAAACCACATGATTCAAAGTGTAACTCCCTGTCCTTGGGTAATGACAGCTCTGATCTGAGCACATTGAAAGGTTCCAAAAGTAAATCAGCACTGAGTTTTAACCTTGTTCCTATAGTGATACATGTAA